ACTTCTGGTCATAGGTCTGGAAATTCTAAGGCAGGTGTGCTAGAAAGAGTCTGCCGCACTGCTACAGTGCGAATCAGTGGACTTATGTCCTTCATATTACCTTCACCACCGAGCAGATGGTGAATGAGCACTTAAAATTACGACTAAACAATGTTATCGATGCCCGTTATGATTGAACTCGCGTATGCAAGCGCCCAGGCCCAAGGTTACCACGGTACCACACATAATACTTCCGTTTGGCACGATCCTGACATACCTCTCTTGCTTTTTTTCATATCCATATATATCGACACATACATACTCGTTGCCTAACGGTCCATTTAGTTTGGCCTATCTTCGATATTATATCGCCAATTATTTGCCGACTTTGCCACTCACACGTGCAGTGAAAATTTGCTTTTTTACTCTTTCCTTATTAATTCTTTCATCGTGTATAAACCTCCGTAGCACTTTCTTCTTGATCCTGGTCAAAATAAATCTTTATGCAAACCACTGACATCTTTTATCACACAAATTCTTACTCTATTCAGAGTCGCCCCTAACATTATACAATGACCGTGTTTCTAAATCTAAAGCAATAATTTGACTCTCATGCTTTTGCCACACCCTATTATACTATAACCATATTGCTTTATATAATTATTATGTACACAAACCGTGATTATTAAACAATAGTAGTACAATGTAAAAATTAAAAAAAATATATAAAACAAATCGTTGCTTGTAGGCAATGCTACGAATAAAAATACACCTGTGCAGTAAAACTCCGCTGTTCTCAAGAAGTTATAAAATAAAAGCCTTAGCATTGATTGAAATAGAAAATAGAACAAAGTGGAAACTCTGCTTTATAGTCGTAATATTTTTCTAATAATAAAAGTATCCGCTGTAATAGTCTTTGTCGGTATCCTTCCCAGCCTAAACCAATACCTGTGCGACAAGGTAATATTGATTTTTGAGTTTTCTAAATTATTTCGCAAAAGTTTATCTGATATGCGACTGACTAGGTGATGAAGATAATTGATTTTGTTAACGCTACTAGTGTCTAATTTTAGTAGTATTTTAACTTTAGTAGATTCTTTTCATTAGCTTTGATTACACATCAAATAGAACAAGAGAGATCGATAGAATACGATAAAAAAAAATGAAATTTAAGATGATTCTATTTTCGGAAACATACAAGCGAACTTCATCACGCATTTTCATTTAAAACTATGAAAGGCTCTTAATTATTGATTCAATGCAATGTAACCATGCAAACAATATAAATGCGGGACTGGTTTGAGAAAAATAAAACAGGATCTCATTAAATCTCGTCTGTCCTTTATTACGCTCGCGCTCGTATTAAGACATGTTTATTGATTTCTATAGAATTTCAGGTGTTTGATTTTGTAGATTTTTTTTTAAATTAAAGAAATACACTGAACAAATAAAACTTATTAAACAATCAAACTATTACACGTATTGTTTGAACGTAGAGGACAAAGTGTTGATACTTATAAAATAATAACAAACGTCTTTAACAATCACTTAAAAATTCTAAAGATAGATAACGTTAGAATTAGATTATGATATTACATACGCTAGTGATATATAAGTCAATGATTACAATTTGTAAGTAATTAATGGTTTCATTTCGTTTTTAATGTATTATATTTTTCCTGCTTCTAAACTTGTGGAGCTTTAAAATATAAAAGATGTTTAAAGAAGACCATCTGAAGAACGGGTCTCTAAGTAAGACTTTTTCTTTTTCCTGAATTCAGTATTGCAGGAATTTTTCCGTCCAGCCTTGTACTAAGCTGATTTGTTTGATAGCGTTTTTAGAAAAGCTTGTAGAGAAATGCGATAGTTTTGAGACCAGACGATCCAATAAAATTTCATTCTATTTGCAATTTTCAATAAAACACTTGTGTTGAAAATAGTTCGTGGCAATAGTTGAATGGCAAATTTAAACTCATGACTTAAAGTTTGCAGTCCGTATATTTAGTCATTCGGCTACTGTCCCCCTTATTCCGTGCCCAGGTTACGTCATAGATTGACGCTAATATAAAGTGTTTGCGATCATGGGAGGTCCGATCTCGGAGTGAAATTCCAATCTACATAGCCCTCTAAAATAAGAGAAGGCCCAGTAGTGAGTTCATGTAGCATTTTTATATTGCAATACTATCTTTCGAGTGAAACTGATTTGAGATAAAAGTTTTGTTCATAGAGTTGAAGAATTTATGACGGGCTCTCACAAAATTTATTTCCCAGTGATATATTATTTGAAAGAAGAAAAGCAATCAATTAATGTTAGATATCGTGGACGGAACATTTATAACAGTAACGATCGCATTACGTAAAAATATGAGAATTACGATCGTCTCGTGTTCATAAAGGGGCTGGTCGGTCTATCATCTTTCGACGGTATTCTTCCATATTTTTCTCAATTCAAAGAAATCATTTTTTGAAATGAACCCAAGAAATTGATATAATTTTTCTTTCACTTTTATATATATTATACATTATACAGAATAAAACACTTGCACAAAAACTCAAACGCTACTCAATTTTAAGATGGTGTTAAGTCTCGTGCTGTCTATTACTTTAATTTAAAGTGACTGGACACCGCGAGACGTAAATCTTATAATTGAGTGTCGTTTCATTATTTGGGCATTAAATGTATCATCATCATCATTAACAGCCTATCAAAGCAGACTGCTAAAAATAGGCCTACCCTTAAGATTGCTTCTTATGGGAAATAATTGCCATAGTTGCAACCATAGAAGACTATAATACACAATAGAATGGCTGTCAACTTTATTTTGTACGAGGATTGGCGTCGCAAAATTCGATTCGCTGTGTTGACAGACTGAATAAATTTACACATTTTAGACTTTTGATTAATGTTCAGGATCATCATCAAAAAAATCTTTTAAATTTTAATACATATTTATTTGTAAATAGGGTGCAATTTGTCATTTTCTAAGTAATTTGCATGAGAAATTCGGAAACGATTGTAACGTCAAAACACATCTTGTGTTGACATTTATAAGTGTGAATGTTAGTGACATTTTAATGGCTACACGGGCTCCGCCCAAAATTCTATTTTAAAAACCTAACTAAAAATCCGACAAAAACAAAAAGTGAAAAAACACCCCCCCCACCGTTTTTTCTCCCCCCAAAAAAAAAAAAAAAACCCTCTTTTTTTTTTTTTTTTAATATTTTTTTTTTTTTTTCCACATAAAAAAAGACCGGAAAAAAAAAAAAAAAAAAAAAAAAAAAAAAAAAAAAAAAAAAAAAAAAAATTCTTAACTTGTTACACACACTACATACGGAATTCCGTTTCGGAATTCCGAAACTGAATGAACTGGTCGGCCACACAGACACACGGAATCCTGTTTTGCCCGCAAAATTTCGAACGGAAAACTACTGTTGGTGTGTGATGGGTCCTTGTTTTTATATGGACTTGCTGCGTTCGAAATACCGAATCGGAATGCCGAAACTGAATTCCGTATGTACGTGTCGGGCCTAACTAGGAGCAATGCGTCATTCTATGCTAGTCCTTAGATTTGACAACACATTTTGTAGGCTTCTTTATAAGCAGGATTTCCACGGTTACATTAGTCATATATCGTCAAGTGGCCAGTAAATCAAAGAAAAAAATTTGTGTTACAGTAACTCTTAAAATTTTTCTTTAATGTTAGTTATAATTTTGAATTTCAACAGTTGAAGATAAGCTACAACTTATAATAAATGTAAACATTTGATAGAGAGAGGATACTTGCGATGGTTTTCACGATAATTATGTATATTCCGTTTCTCAATTTAAAAAGATAGACGAATGAAAAAAATACATCTGGAAAATGAAATTTAATTTCTTTACATCGATAAAAAAAGAGGTTCTTATTATTGTTAACAAAAAAATCTCTGTATCTCTACGATTTACCCACTGGGCTGGGTCGTTGGGGCTAGCTTTACGGACGAGAGTACCAAGAAGTCATTCTAGAACTATCTAAAGCAAAGGACTCATAAGATAAAATAAAACAGTACACTTTTTTCCTACTTTTAATCACACTTTAAAAAATATGTGGTTTTATTTTCATGAGTTTCATACTCTAGTAACTTCTAAAATGATTACGTGGTACTCTAGTTGCAATATCAACTGCTTGACTATATCAAAACAGCAGCAACTATATATATATATATATTATACAACATAGAAAGTATTTATAAACTTGTTTTTGTAAGATAATAATCATTGTTTTTTAGGTAAATCAGCGCAATAAAGGAAAATATTATTACTATATTAATACGTTGATAAAAATAATTTCTAATAAAAAATGCTTGCTGAAAATATTTCATAACAACCAAAAATAATATTTAAAAGTTTGTGAGTTAAGAAGTTTCACTTCTGACGTGCAGTTCAACGACTGACATTTTTTTTTCTCGACCTAGTTCTGGGTTTAGTATCTATATAATATGTTATTGTCTATTTATCTGTTGACTTTTCACTAAGTCGACTAGTAAGTCGACTTAAGTAGGATCGCAAAATCATTGTTTCTTATCCGACAAACAGTAAAATAACCATCACTGTATTTGTCAAAATATGTACAATATCCCAGGCTATCAGGGTGCAATCTCAAGTTTGAATTTGGTAGAGGGAGGGGGAGATTTGACGAAGCATACATATGTGTTTTACCATTCCCATAACTGCCTATTAAAGTCCAATGCTGAACGAAGGCATTTCCCATACATATTTCCCATAGTTGGCACGCTTGGCAAGCGGGTTGGCAACCGCAGTTTTTTTAGTCGTTATTAGAAAGACGCTCCTGCACGTCTCCTGATTTGATTCCCTCTGTCGTCTCTTACGACACCCACAGGATGATATGAGATAGTGGATATTCTTATAACGCCGCTACGTAGTCCCACACAGGTCATTACATAGGGGCTTGAATCTATTTAAATACTACTTATAATATTTACGGCAGGTGACATCATTCATATTGTTATATCTTCCGCAGATCGGCCTTCGACAACGTGAAAGTTACAAAAGTCGCTATAAAGAAAATTTCGCCGTTCGAACACCAGACGTATTGCCAGAGGACGCTCCGTGAGATAAAAATCCTCACCCGGTTTAAGCATGAGAATGTAAGACATCATTAATAATCATTGTTTGCTTTTGTTACTGAAATTGTGATTCGAATAGTAGATAGTGGAAACTTTTGTAGAAATTTTGAGACTGCAACCTATCCTTAAATCAACTTTGAGAAAGCCTGCTCAGTTCTGCATAAAAAAATAAATGCCGTATATTATTCCATTTGAACAAACTCCCTACCACAATTGCTTAACAATCACAATCACAAGCTCGAAATTTTGTATATAGTTCCCGGATGACCGAACTTTGCTCGGTTTTTATTTTAAATTAAATTTATAAATTACATACTGATGAATTTAAATAATATTTTTTGATCTTATTGACAGAATAGAAAAAACTGAACTGATTATTTGAATAAAAAATCATGATTGCAATTAGTTTTATTACAGTTTTCGTATTTTTAAAAAATACTAAAAAAAGGGCTTCAAATAATAGATTTTCTCACAAAAAGGGAAAAAAAAAAGGAAAAAAGCTGGACCAGAAACAGGACGCGAACAACGGAACTCCGATATCACGCCCGACCGACATCCCACCTGAGCTATTACGATCGTTAGTGATCTATCAAAATTTACCTTCTTATATTGTAGCAGTTTTTTTTATTGCCTGAAAACATGGACAAAAGGACATTTTCTGAAAATAAATCCTAGCTAGATCGATTTATTGCCCACGAAACTCCCTGGACACTAAATTTTATGAAAATCGTTGAATTCGTTTCAGATTCCGATTATATATATATATACAAGAATTGCTTGTTTAAAGGTATTTATATATATATATAATGCATGAAAATGTATCCTTTCCTAACAATGCAAATTCTGTTTTCTTATATTTTTTTCATTAAAGCCATAGAAACTTGTGAGTGATAACAATCGGGGTGGTTTTTTAATTTCGTGAACAACGGTACGTTATTATCGTGTGCGTGTTTTTATACCTTTATGTTTTGTTCCAGATTATCGATATTCGGGATATTTTAAGGGCGGAATCTATTGATCAAATGAAGGACGTTTATATCGTTCAGTGTTTAATGGAAACTGACCTTTACAAACTCTTAAAAACTCAGGTAATACTCTTGTACTAATTCTACAATTTGATAAAATTTATTATTATTTATTATTTCTCTATTGTATTCTTTTGTTTTAAGGTATGCTAATAAAGAATAAATAAATAAATAAAAATAAGTAAATAGTAGTCAAATACTCGCTTAGAATAGTAAAAAAGTTTTCAACTTTTCATTGACTTTACTATAGTATAGCAAAATGTCCATTCCTAAATTAACAAAATCCAATTGATCGTCGTTTAACAGACGTTTTCGTGGCAGGAAGGCGTGCGATTCTATGCTAGAATTAGAGTTGTGGCACTTCTTTTCTACCATTAAGTCCATGTCTCTACCATTGGTCTACCATTCTCTTATTTAATTAAATACAACGTCTTTTTACGGTCGGTTTGTCATGTGGAAATCGCTTAAAGCGATATGAACACCGTTTGTGGTTTATACATTTTCCGTTATTGTAACAACTTAGTTTAAACGCTAAAATCTATCTTAGCGGTCAGCCGCCGTAGAGTCTACATCACCTGAAGATGCCTCGTGTAGAGGCGAAACACGTGTCGTATTATCGTCAATTGTGTGTCTTTCCTATAATAGTAGTGTTGGGAGTAGTGGTGTTGGAAGTAGTGGTGCTGGGATTAGTGGTGACGGGATTAGTGCACGCAATTGAGGGAGGGCTCTTCAAACTAGGTAAAACACATCATTTTACTTAATTGAGCGGATGGTAGCAAAATAACTATTAATATCTTTATTATAATGGATTTCCGAAAAGTAACGCCTGATTCTATTAGTTATCTACCTATCTTATTTCTGTATCTACGGAGAAAAGCTGTGTGATCCGGTTTAAAGGGTAAAGCGGAAGGCCAGCTAAAAGCCTGAAACGTCGAAGTTTTTTTTCAGTGGCTTGTTACTTTAGGAGACTAATTGCGTCCGAAACATCTTATTCACGATTATACCGAATACAATGCTATAGCCTTTAAACATCAAATAATTGGCTGCATGTTTACGCTGATACGGTCCAAAATAAGTCGTGAGCGGAATATGAAATACTTACCAATTACTATTTAATTATTTAGGTAAAGGCTTTTCTTTCAAAAACACGATACCGGCCAAGTGATAGTTACTAGATAATCATAAAATTGACAACATACATTTTCATAAAATCATTACAACAACGTGAGGGCTATCCGTTTAAAAGTGTCTTTTCTTACAGAAACTAAGCAACGATCATATCTGCTACTTCCTGTACCAAATCCTGCGAGGACTGAAATACATCCACTCCGCTAATGTACTGCATAGAGACCTCAAACCATCGAACTTACTACTTAATACCACCTGTGATTTAAAGGTAACGTTTACAGTTCGTTTTAAATGTTCTTTTAATTTCTTATATACATTTTTTCTTTTACATAGCAAAGAAAAGTTTTTGCTAAGATATAAATATTATTTATATAGGCTACTAGTAATAAAGGCTTGTTCAAACTGAAACAAATCCCGCACGGGTTGCGAAAAGCGTCTCCCTCGTATCCATTGCGTGAGCAAACTTCTATGCAAGTGTTTAAGTTTGCGCTAATAGTCGCGTGAATTTAAATGAAATATACGGATTACTTATTAACTGTACACTTAAATGAGATATCTCTTAAGTGTTTTTAATACAAAACTAGCGATCTGATTCGGCTTAGCCTGGATTGCATCAATTAATGTGGCGTTATATTGATTCAAGATAATCATAGATCGCTTCTTTTATTAATTTTTCATTTATTTCAAAAAAGTTTTAAGTTTTTCGGATATACCTAATATGGCCTAAATCCGTCATGACATTGCGCTCTATCAGGTTTGCCAGATCGATAGACTAAACTATCCGGACAAATTTTGGAAAGGTCGGGATTTTGCGGTTGTTGTCGGAAGAAATTAATATTAAAAATAAAAAGTTTATTTTTTAATTAGAAGGCTACAAAAAGTACTTTAAACAAAAGTAATTTAAGTACACGTAGTATTTAGATTGCCATATTATGTATTTGGCATTGGGCTTTACTAGAGTCCATTAATTTAGATCCTATAGTAGTATTTTTTTATTATAGTAGTATTCAGAAAATCTTTAAAATTCAAACAATTGATTTAAAAGTTCAGTTAAATTACTAACTCAGCTTATATTAAATCAAAGGCCATACATAAATTTTCCGAGGAGCTGTTTTGTATGGAGATTTTGAGTTTTGTCGGGAGTTTGGAAATCATTTAAAATGTCGGGAGAATCCAGACTAATCCCGACCATCTGGCAACTCTAGCTCTATCTATTCGTAAAGCCAGGGCTATACATGTTGGCCGAGCGCAGGCGAGTACCAACGTGTATAAGGTTCGCTTGGCGTGCTTTGCCACCACTCGAGAGCGCTCGCTACGACTCGTTTCACTTCGGAACAGTGTGGGTTCTTCTGGACAAATCAAATACGCTCTCCTGCACTCGGCAAGTCGTGTCCACTCCAGTATTTTCACTCATTCAAACTTGGCCAACATGACTGTAGCACTCACCTTGTATCAATTTACTTACGCTCGCGTTGGTTGAGGTTTGGCCTAAAGTTTCAACAATTGGTTCAATCCGAAGGAAACTAACAATAATTGAAAAAAGTGGTTTTATGTGTCAATAGCATGCAAATCCCTCTGAGCTTAATGACCGAGCTTTGCCCGGTTTTTTTTTGAAATTACATTTAGATACAAATTACATACTGATAAATAACATTTTTTGATCTTATTGACATAATAGAATAAAACTGAACTGGTTATTTGAATAAAAAATCATGAGTGCAATTAGTTTAATAAAAATTTTCGTATTTTTAAAGAATACTAAAAAAGGGCTCGAAATAGTAGATTTTCTCACAAAAGAAGGGAACTTGAAAAATAAAGGAAAAAAATCGGACCGAGGAAAGGATGCAAACCATTACGATTTCGCGACCGCTCGATATCCACTTGAGCTATCACAATCATTAACACAGTGTCAAAATTTTCCTTCTTATATTGTAGCAGTTTTTCATTGCCCCATTGATTTATTGCCCTCGGAACTCCCTGGACACTAAATTTTATGAAAATCGTTGGAGCCGTTTCCGAGATTCCGATATATATATATACAAGAATTGCTCGTTTAAATATATAGGATGTATTTAATATTTATAATATGTATAAATTATTTTGTCACAGTTAAATCGAAACTGTGAGCACTTAATTATCCCGAAGCTTTGTTGATTCTGCTACTCGCTTTCCTCATCCCGTGCGGCGTATTTATTACAGCCTGAATGATGCATTAACGTTTGCTTATTTATGTACCATGCGATATGACAAACAAAAATGTTGCTTAGGTACTTATTTAATTAAGTAAAATGTAGTTAGGTTAGTGCCCTGCCCATGTAGATCCCACCATAGGCCACCAGCGTCTTATTTCTGAGAGGAATTTTTGTGTTTTGGACTTCACGTATCTTTTCTTATGTGCTCATAACTAGTGAAAAGGGCTTTCAGTTCTAGTCCCTCATCATATGAAAAACTATTTTCTATGACGTACGACTCGTTTTCTTCCTAGCAGTTCATCTCGACAGGTGCCGCCCTCTCACCTATATCTGCAGCCAAATAGCAGGGCTTGCTTTGGCACTTCTATTTGTTTATATAATAAGGGTGACAAACGAACACACAGTCCACCTGATGGTAAGTGGTTGCTGTGGCTCGTAGACATCTACATCTATCCTCGATTACGAATCAAAATGCATATGCGTTGTCATCCGTGAGGACTAAAATGGAATGCCTCGTTTCCAGTAAAAAGGGTCTCTGGGTCTCAACACTCACCATACGAAACACAGCAGTATTATGCTGCTATTTTACGCTGGTATTCTGTGAGAGCGTGGTCCTTCCCCGGTCGAGCCGACCCATTCGTGCTATAACCATAATATAGCTGCAGCGTGGCTCTACCACGTACAAAATTAAAATAAAATATATTTAGCAGCAAATTTATTTTATTTGGCAGCTAGTCTGGTGGTTATAGAGGGCCAGTACAATTACAGGCTGTGAGATATTCCATCTTCGTATCCAAAGGTAACTGTTCACCTGTAGCCAGGTGTTCATCAGCTGGAGACTGCATTAGCCATTTACCACCAGGTGGAATCTAACTTTCAGTTTTATTAAAAATATGGTGTTATTTTACTCTGGTTTATTGCGAGAGTGTTTAATCAAAGTAAACATTTTCGTAGTGAGTGAAATAATATTTTAATTTTTTTTTCACAAAATAAGATTAAATGAAGTGTAAAATTTATTAAAAAATGTTTTGTCAAACATATTATGATGTATGATAATTATAATAATCCACATTTTTTTGTCTCATATTCTGTTTAAGACTCCTTTAATTAATTTTTGTGACTTAATCATGTTTTCTTATGTATAATTTATGGTTAAATAATATTTTAATAATATTTAGATTTGCGACTTCGGTCTCGCGCGCGTTGCGGACCCGGATCACGACCACACCGGCTTCCTCACGGAGTACGTCGCCACTCGCTGGTACAGGGCGCCGGAGATCATGCTCAATTCCAAGGTATTGACGATAGTAATATGATGAGATGTGTGAAATGAAAGCTACTACAACAGTGTAATAACAATACTTTTTAGTAGAACCTATTTACACCAGCTCTTTGGATGGACCATGGATGGGAATGGACCATCATGGCTGGGAACTGGCCTCCGCCAAAGTACTAGAATTCTCACACTTTTGACATTACTCACTGTCATCTATTTTTTATTTAAACCTGGCATAATAATATATAAAAGGTCATTGTCATCCTTCGACTTTTACGACACTCATGGAGCATGGCGAGTTAGCTTGCTTCTCATAAATATTGGGTCCTTACATATGAAATTAGCGTTTTGCCGTACTGACCAATTTGATCTGAAATATCTTTGGTTAAGAATTCCAAATTCAAATTTATAAATTCATTTAGCTGATACATTTGAGTTTTGAAAACAGTAATTCATTTGTTTTTCCTCATAATTTTTTTTCTTTGGCGTCAATTATTACCGCACAATGGAAAACATGAAATATCGGTATATTTACAAAAAAAGAGTTGTACGTGCTGCAAAAAGTTTGTAAGATTAATGATGTGTACGGCGCTGGTGTCGCAAAACAAAGCACGGTACGGTTTTGGTTTCAACGTTTTCGTTCTGGAAATTTCGACCTTCACAGAACCAACCCCGTGGACGGCCGGAGAACAAAGTGGAAAATGAAGAATTAAAGGCTATTGTGGAAGCGGATCCATCACAAAGCACTTCAGAGATAGCTGCAGGCTTCGGCGTAAGTGATAAAACTGTATTAATCCACTTGAAGCAAATCGGGAAATTAAAAAAAAACTTGAACGATGGGTATCTCATGAATGGAGTGAATCGAACTTGCAGACACGCGTCGACTGCTGTGTTACTTTGCTCGACCGACACAAAAATGAAGGGATTTTAAATCGAATCATTACTTGTGGTGAAATGTGGATACTGTACGATAATCGGAAGCGCTCGTCGCAATGGCTGAACGCTGGAGACCCAGCCAAATCCTGCCATAAACGAAAATTGACTCAGAAAAATTTAAGTAAGTTAAGTTGAGTATTTGGTGGAACTAGTGCCTACTAGTGCTACAGCTTTCTAAAACCTGGCCAAACTATTACGACAGATATCTATTGTCAGCAACTGCAAACCATGAAGGAAGAACTAGCTGCTAAACTACCGAGATTGGTTACAATCACTCTAGGCCACTGCTGCTTCACGACAACGCAAGACCACACACTGCACAACAAACAACCACTAAGCTGTCTACAATTGGAATGTCTGCGACATTCACCGTACTCCCTGGATCTTGCTCCAACAGGTTACCATTTTTACCGGATTTTGGACAACTTCTTACAAGGAAAAAAATTCAACTCGGATGCGGCAGTCCAAACCGCCTTCAAAGAGTTTATTGATTCTCGCCCTCATGGTTTTCTTAGTGAAGGGATCGATGGACCTATGAGATGACAAAAGTGTATAGATAACAACGGTGCATACTTTGATTAATTAAATATATTTTACATAAAAATTGACTTTATATTCCTCCCGTACAAAACGCCAATATCATATGTAAGGACCTATTATATACTGTTATAGCACTCTGGGTTTTTTTAACTTCCTGTTATGAAAATCAATAATGAAGTTTTTGTTTTTTAAATTTATGTGTTGCTACCGCATACATTTTAAAGACAAACTATTAAAAAAAAAGAACGTTCCACAGTTGACGAAAATATCGTGTGACATACTAATCAATAAAGGACATGCAGTCATATTAATAGCCGCCTTTTTGAAGTGGGCAAATCTATTAATTAAGAAAATAGACAAATCTATTATTTAACTTTTGATAAATCACTATAGCGTAAATGGAAATATGTGATTTTTCTCAAAACTCTACCTCACCTGTACGCGCAACACCTTATCAGAGACGGCTAAAGGTGAAAAATCTATCCAAAGTCTTTTGGACCGGTGAAGAGACATTCCTTATGTGATAGTATCATCAGCTCCCCGGTCACCAACATAGCCCAGAGAGGAGCGTATGGGCAAATATTTTAAGAAATTGTCTGTTGGCGCCATTGAAGTAATATGTACTTACGCACTAGAACAGCTATCTCAAACAAAAAATGTGCGCTACTCTGTGTTCGCGCGGTTGTTTTTTTTATCACAGAATAAACATAGGTAGAATGATCAGTAGCGCGGTTGTTTTTTTTATCACAGAATAAACATAGGTAGAATGATCCGTAGTAATAGTAAATTATATTGTTAAATAGGTAAATTACATTGAGAACAATTTTCAAACTTTGTCATTTATTCTGTATATTATATTTGCTTATTTAATATAATATCACATAATATTATATCACAATTACATTTTGATGATATTTTTATCTGAATATTTTAAAAGGTATCTATGTCAAATATAAAAAAAACATACTAAATGTATGTTTAACAAAACTTATTAATATAATATTTAAATTACAAAATATATTTATTTCAATTAGAATAAGAGTCGTTTATAAATGGAGCTGGGCACGTGAGAATTAAAAATGAACGAATTTATTCCACTTTGACTTTCATGTGGAAACCTAAAAATAAAATAAAAGAATAATGAGCAGATTTAAATATAAAAAATTTAGCCTAATTATGATAACTCATATATTTTTCTACAAAAAATGTGTATAATAATATATTCGTCCTATACTTAAGTACCCACAGAAATGTCGCATCTGAACAAATTAATTTCATAATCTATATTACATGACACAAGATGGCGTCTTAGGAATAATTTGTTTTATTATTTATCTATAATACTTATTTATATAAAAAAAACTACTTGATTAAGTATCTTATTTACCGATGAAAAGTAATTCCTTGGTTTTTACTGATATTTCTTGAATTATTTGTGCGATATCTAAGTACACACAACGGCATAGATTTATCAAGAGATTTTTTTTTAAATCAACACAACACGTGACAACTCTACAAGCGCCTAGCGATTGACTGATTAAAGTGCGGTGTATGCACCGCAGTTGAGCGGAACAGATTAGCTGAATGCAGTGTCGCCTCTAGTACTTAGTACATAGTAGCTCAATGGTTGGCGCATTCTTGTAAAGTACTTTGTCCAGTTATGGGCTTATAAAAAGCGAATGTAATGTGATACATAGGATGAAAAACTCAATGTTGCATATGCTTGTGCAGGGGTACACCAAGTCAATCGATATTTGGTCGGTGGGCTGCATCCTAGCGGAGATGTTATCGAACCGGCCGATATTCCCCGGCAAACATTACCTCGATCAGCTGAACCACATTCTTGGCGTACTCGGTTCACCCAGCCAGGAGGATCTGGATTGCATTATCAACGAGAAGGTAAGGTAACCGTATAGCGAGTTATGAACAAATTTTATAACTAGTCACTCGGCCCGGCTTTTAGAGTGTTTTAGGTTGTTAAAATTTATGATCATCATCAAAGTCATATTTGATTTTATAAATTTTTAAATATTCAAGTTTTGGACAGATTATAAGCCTAGATCACTCCTGGCATTGCTCTCTATCTGTTTCCGAAGTTCCATTACAGGTTCAGCCATTCTGAAGATTAGCCCGGACAGATAGACGAAAGTTTTAAAAATGGTTACTTATGTCTTAATGGCCTGCAAATAAACCCCCTCAGTTCAATAAAAGGCAGTTATCTCGATATTATAAACAGGCATTTCAATTTTATTTGTATGTACTAGCTTGCCAGGCAGACGTTGTTCTGCCCTTTTCGACGGCCCTTTGTCATTTCCTATTAAAAATCCTTAAATTAGCAAAAAAAAAAAATTGTGGGTCACTCATGGGCAAAAAAAAACTATCCTATTTCTAAAGTTGGACCAAACTGCACACAGTGTGCAAATTTGATTAAAATCGGTTGAGTAGTTTAGGAGTATATCGCGGACAAACAACGTGACACGTAATTTATATATATTAAGATATGTGGCAGCCAACTAGTTTTATCAGCCTTTCAGTTAACAGCCTAGACTTTTAAGCAAACGGCGCCGTTCAACTAGCGGCCTAAATGATATTCAGCCGTAGCGTTTGTTACAACATTTAATAAACTGGCTGGCTAATGCTTAGGCCATCCGTACGATAGAGTGTAATAGCACCATTCAACTAGCGGCCTGAATGATATTCAGTCCATGCATTTCCGCCGATGCGTCTAATACAACATTACATGCCTAATTATACACTGCTATATTATACAAATATACACGGCTTTCGGGTGGCTCAAGGGCCACCCCAGCCGCATCCTTACCTACTGTCGCTGATATTACATCATCAAAATTGTTGTTTGCTGACGCCATACTGACAGTGGCATAAAGTGGAACTAAATTGAAATGAACAGCCTAGGCAAGTAATGAAACGTCATCGATCCAAGTCATTTGCGTAGCGGTTTGATCAAATTATTAAGTATCATTCAAGCCGTTAGTTGAACGGCGCTGTTTAGTAAAGAGGCTAGGCTGTTGGTAGAACGGCTGATTAAGCTTGACTGCGACATAAAGATAATAATAATATGGATCTGCTTTATCAGCCCGCCAAACCGCCACTGGACAAGGGCCTCTCGCGCTTCAGGTAGGCTTTGCCTCAATTGTCATCTTTGACTGGCGGATGGACGATCTCAGTACCAGATGTCACATAACTTTCAAGCTGGTGCCTGACGCCAGTCTGGGTAAAGAAGTGAATAATTAATGGCGTTAAGTAATCTATCGGATTTTTTTTTAAAAAATAAGTATTTATGCGATGGCCTACAAATAATTATATAGTAATTATATACTATTATCAGATATATCGTATCCTGAAAATAGATACTCTTAACAGAACGTAGATGGTAAAAGGAAAGGGCTTCCCGTATTGCTGAGACGTAGTTCAAGAGCATGTACAATGAAACTTTATATTAAGTACCTAGATATTTTATGAGTACCCATAATAGACGAGCATGTTTGCGTAGGTATAAGGATTGTTATAAAAGCGAGAGTTAGGTGTCATGATCGTGACAAACGAAAGTATGTATCCTCTGCACACCCCTCTGTATGATAGCCGTGAGAGTTTCCCTCTTTTTTTTAAATAGTCCAACTGATGGTAAGTGGATGGTGTGGCCCATAGACATCTACATTTATCCTCGGTTAAGAATCAAAACGTAGATGCGTGGTTACCCCTGAGGACAAAGATGGAATGCCTCGTTTTCAGCAAATAAAGGTCTCCCCATCTCTACACTCACCATACGAAACACAGCAGTATTAATCTGCGATTTTGCTCTGGTATTCTATGAGGGCGTGATTCTTCCCTATTTGGTCTGAACCATTCGTACTACAACTATAATATAGCTGCAGCGTGACTCTACTACGTATGTGTGTTTATTTCAATTATTGGTTTAATTATTTACCAAAAAGTCTGATTATTTTTTTCGTATTTCATTTTGACGATCCTTTTCAATTCCAATCCAATCTAGCAATGAAAACGAAAAAAAAGCAAAGAAAAAATGGCAATACTGTTCAGTTCCGCAGTTAAAAAAGTTACCCAAAACTCATTGTTGAGATAGATTGTAAAGTTACCGTCTTCAATATAAAGTCACATCACTTTTGTTTTATTTGCACGTTATTTTGTATTCCGATTCCTCCGAAAATAGACTGGAAAGGAAAATTTTGGTAACGTTTGTTATCGACTTTCTCCTCTGTAACACGACGGCAGACAATCGCGTGGATCAGTGGTTAGATTTGCTGCAGTTTGGTCTGAGTGCAGTGGTGAACTGCACTCACGAGCATGAAATAGCTGCGTGAGGATGCTGTGATATCACAGCATCCTCACGCAGCTATTTCATGCTCGTATACTGTTATGGCGTGGTCTTTCCCCATTTATGCTACAGCCATAATACAGCTGTAAGGTTTCTCGACCACGTATAAAATCTGGTATCCGATAAGTGACGGTATAATCATTCTATTTACGCCAGACGTAAAATACCTAGACCGATGACGGGGCGCTGGGTCAAAGGTGCGGGACGGTTGTACCGTGATTGCCAATCCGCATGCCAAATACGCCCATTATGGCAATTTTTTTAAATAAGAGAAAGGCCCGTGTCCAACAGAAGACTAACAGGCTGGTTAAGTAGTGGGCTCTAAAGTTACAGCCTATGTACTTCCCAATGCTGAGTACAGGCCCCGTGTACCATGGGGCCATGAATGAATAACGGACCCTGTGGAGTCGAGTAACTGATATCATTAGCTTGTGTTTATTCCTGCTGTAAAGTTAGTTATAACGGCCTCCGCTCATTTCTGAGAAGGTTTTAGGGCAAGGAAATGTCCGCCCCACTGCCCCAATGCGTAATGGCGAATATTATTCCTTATTTATCAGACATGCAGGTTTCCTCACGATGTTTTCCTTCACCGCCGAGCACGTGGTAAACCAGCACTTAAAATTGCTGCAATGAACAATTTAATTGGTGCCGGCCGGAATCGAATCCCGGTTGCTCGCATACTGTGAAATTTACAGCGAGCGTTTAACTCCTGCCATGCTATGCCATCCATACATGCTACCATGGCTCACGGGCAAGTGGTGGGCTTTGTGATAATTTAATAACATTTTACTGATATATAGTCACTTGATAGATAAGGACATTTTTGTTGATGCTGACAACCAAGTTGTACTAATCGGTATCCATAACGACGACATATTTTCAATTAATGTCAGCTTATTTTCAATTAAATCAGTATCCCAAGGGACAAACCTTACTTAAAACTTCCGTCGGATCCGTGAGCTTATGAATAATAAATGTTGTGTATTATGGCAAGAGGTATGGAACTTTCCGTTAAGCTAATATCAACAATTCTGCTGTAAATATAAAGAAAAAACATTTTAGAAATTGATATATTATTGTTTTCGCCTGCTCGATGGTTACATTTTATTGTACATTCATTGTATTATAAATAATTCTTATTTAAAGTAATATTTTACTTTTACCGCTGGTTCTAAACTCAGTGCGACCTACTTATGAATTAATATTATACGCTAAAATGGGTGCACTTTTACATTGTATTTATTTACAAAACTCCTTTCAGAAACAGCTTAGAAACGATCATCTCAATCCCAGAGTTTTCAACAATGTATTCATTTATATATTAATTTTACTGATACTTACTAGTAATACTTTTTCTAGTGAAGGTTTAGTAAAAAATTTAAACTTGCTAATAAAGAGATCTTGTATACTTTCTGGGACTTTTAAAAGTGTACACCCCATGAAATAAATGAATTACTCCATATATACATGTATACAGACACGCCATGAATGAATAACTGACCCTGTGGAGTCGAGTAACTGGTATCATCAGATTATGTTTATTCCTGCTGTTTACAGGGAGTATATTCCTTTTTTTTAAGTTTATTAAAGTTACAGCCTATATATACGTCCCACCCCTGGGCACAGGCCTCCGCTCATTTCTGAGAGGGTTTTTAGGGCAAGGAATTGTCCGCCGCGCTGTCTCAATGCGTGTTCGCGAACTTCATGCCTTCGAAATATTTTTTTCTTAATTCTCAGACATGCAGTTTTCCTGACGATGTTTTCCTTCACGGTCGAGCACATGGTAAATCACATTTTACAGGTGAGCTCAGTGTTTGTTTGTCACCTTTATTCTATAAAAAATACATACTACACTGTGCATAATACATAATATTATATCGTCAATAAATTACTTTTCCGTGTCTACGTTTGCTAAAAATATAACGTTTGCAACGTACAACATACATAACCAAAGGCGTCTAAAGCATGAAATACGTCACCCGCCAATTTTGTCGACGAATTTAATCGATTTTCGTAACTGTTTGAGCTTAGGAAATGACACACTTTTTAATCTTTATAACTCCCGATGATATCATTATATCATCTAGTTTACTAAAAGATTTTGGTATGATATCATATTCGAATGAAGATTAGATTAGGATCAAAAATTAGATTTGAAGTTACTAGTGCGTGACGGCTGATTACGTTCGGTTATTCATACATATACAGACATAACATAATGTCTTAAGTGACGTAACTACGGGGAAAATATTTTTTTTGTTTTGTTTTGGTCATAGGAGATTTATAACTTTATTATAACCTGAAATCAAATCTTATAGAAAATTTTACGAAAAAAATATATTAACTTTGGCCTCTCTGTACACAAACACAAAACCTGTTACAAAAACAAAATAAGTTCTAATAAAAAAGGGAGTAGAGCCGTGGTAGCTCAGATGGTTAGCGCTCGCTGTAAATTTCATAGTACGCGAGCAAAACAGGTTCGACCCCCGCCGGCACCAATGAAATTGTTTATTATTAATACGTAAATGAATATATATGCTTTTAAAAGTCTCAGAAAGTATTCAAGATTCCTTTATTAGCAAGTTTAAATTTTTTACTAAACCTACACTACAAAAATAATTATTAATATATAAATGAATATATACGCTTTTAAAAGTCCCAGAAAGTATACAAGATCTTTTTATTAGCAAGTTTAAATTTTTTACTAAACCTACACTACAAAAAGTATTTATTGATATATAAATGAATATATACGCTTTTAAAAGTCCCAGAAAGTATATAAGATCTCTTTATTAGCAAGTTTAAATTTTTTTCTAAACCTACTCTACAAAAAGTATTACATCTTAATATATAAATGAATATATGGTTGATAATAACTCTTCGATTGAGGATTGGGAGGATTTAAATGAGTTTTGTAAGTAGTAGATTCCCCTACACCGTAGTTACATCAAGATCTGAACAAATAGGTTTTGTACTACTTACTAACAGAAAAACCTCAATAACTCAAAACTGCTTAGCATATACTTTTTTTTACAAATGTTAGACAACAAACACGTAGTCACTAACGCGTAAGAACTTTTTCATATCCGATGTAACAACTCCCATGTTTTAAATTCGGAGGGATATTAAAATACAGTTACACAATAACAACGAAATCAGAACTGAAAAACCGACAATTTGTCTTTTTTGCATATATTTGGATTTCAACTTGCGAGATTCGAACCCGAGACTTGAAGCGAGGTTGCCACTCCGGCCACTAAGCCATGCTGTTATTGTGGAAATGTTTTGCCCTAAAACAAAGACTTCTACGTATACTGCTAGACTGTCAATTTAGAACAAAGCTTGTGTCACACGTGCGGATTGCGCGGGAACTGGCACGTGCGTGTAACTGGCACGGTAAACATACAACGCAGTTTTATTTACATTTACGACGAAGAACTAGTCTTCACGGCCGCTCGTAGTCGATTAAAGGAGTTAAGGAGAATTGGCCGTAACTTAGTTTGCAATGTACTAAGGCCGCCTGTCTATAAGTACAAGAAGTCTTTGTCTTAAAATAATTATATCTGTTGGGTATATAGGCTCGCGGTTACTTGGAGTCGTTGCCGTACAAGCCGCGCGTGCCGTGGGCGGATTTGTTCCCGGGCGCGGACCCGCGCGCGTTGGACTTGCTACATCGCATGCTCACCTTCAATCCGCACAAGCGGATCACCGTCGAGGAAGCCCTCGCCCATCCATACCTCGAGCAGTACTACGATCCTAATGACGAGGTAACGTATTCATGTTTTAACTTTTAATAGTTTTAATAGTTCTTCTATGTTATAGTGAGACGACAAGGTTTGCAGCCGTAGATTTTTTTATCGTTTTGAGTTGTTATAAAGATGGTATTGTATGTCGTATCGTATGCTCGATTAAGAATCAAAATGTAGATTGAGATGAGATGGCATGCCTCGTTTCCAGTAAAAAGGGTCTCCGGTTCTCTACACTCACCATACGAAACACAGCTGCGTAAAGCTGCTATTTTATATGATATTCTTACATCTACACTACTAGGTTAAAAACGAGTATTATTAATTAATTAAATTACAAGTGCCACAGTATGCGAACTGGCGCCGCTGTTGCTCCGCGCAGCCTTCGCTGTAAATTACACAGTACGCATGCAACCCGGGTTCGATCCCCGCCGGCACTAATGAAATTTTTAATTGCAATTTTAAGTGCTTACTTGAAATAAGTAAATGCTCGGCGGCGAAAGAAAACATCGTGAGGAAACCGACATGTCTTGACATGTTTGAAAGTGCCCCAGAATTAATTCAAAACACCAAATGACCAAAAAATGTTTTTTCCGAAATATTAAAAATTACGGCTCTTAGAATGCAAATGATTCGTTTTCAGTTTTAAAATAGATTTACTATAGTAAATTCAATTCCACCTTAAAAATATATATATCTGTTCCTCTGTAATATGCTGTGCACAAGGTGGATATATATGTATGTATGTATGTATGTCGTGAATGAATGAATATATATATATATATATATATATATATTATATATGTATGTATATATATACCACATTAGTATGTACCTTCTGTGTACTAAATATCGGGAATTTGTCAATAAAACAAAAAATACAAATTATTCATCTAAATTTATTTTATCGCCTTCAAAGTAGGCCCCATCGCTTGCAATACAACATCTCCAACGCTTCACCCAGTCTTCCATACATTTTTCATAGGCTATTTGCGGTATGGCCTTTAGCTCATTCAGCGAATTTTTTGTTATGGCTTCTATCGACTCAAAACGTTTTCCTCGAAGTGGTAATTTTAACTTGGGAAATAAAAAAAAGTCAGACGGAGCCATATCAGGTGAATACGGTGCTTGGTCGAGAACTTTTGTTGAATTTTTCGCTAAAAACTCTTTCACTATAATAGCTGTGTGTGATGGTGCATTATCATGGTGCAGCATCCATGAGTTGTGTTGCCACAAATCTGGACGTTTTCGGCGGATACTCTCACGCAAACGCTTCATGACGCCTAAATAATATTCTTTATTCACTGTTTCTCCCTTTGGAAGGAATTCGGAGTGAACCACACCACGGTAGTCAAAAAAAACTGTCAGCATCACCTTGATTTTGGAGCGACTTTGCCGCGGTTTTTTGGGTTTCGGCTCGTTTTCGAGACGTCATTCTGAAGACTGTTGGCTTGTTTGCATGTCGTACTCATAAACCCATGTCTCGTCGCCAGTTATTATACGTTTCATAAAGGTCGGATCCGTAGAAGCTCGGGAAACCATGTCTTCAGCGACATGCTTTCGTTGCGCTCTTTGAACAAAATTGAGCTCTTTTGGAACTAGTCGAGCGGCGACGCGTTTCATGCCTAAAATGTCAATGAGAATGTTTTGGACGGACTTAAAAGATATGTTCACCTCACTAGCAAACTCTCTCAGAACCATACGTCGATTTTCGAGCACTAGCTTCTTGATTTTGTCGATGTTTTCTTTGGTCGTAGCGGTTGAAGGTCTACCAGAACGAGGCAAGTCTACTACTACTTCTCGGCCTTCTTTAAAAGCCTTATACCATTCATAAGCCCTTGTTTTCGATATACACGATTCGCCGTAGGTATTTCGCAACATTTTAGTGATTCGCCACATGAAATATCATTAGAAACACAAAATTTAAGGCACACTCTTTGTTCAACAATATTTTCCATTGTAAAAATCGCCGAGAACTCAAAACTATGACCAACAAAAAGTGTAGTTTAAAACAAATTAAATGACAAATCCCGCTCAAACTTTGCGCGCTAAATCAGTACAGTGCAACCAACATGCAGTAAAAAAATTAGAACGACCTCTTTTACGCGGGTCTTTTTATTGACATATTCCCGATACTTTTTACACAGAGTAGTACGTATATAATATGCACATAAATATGCATATTATACACGTGACTTATACACTCAAAACCATATTGACATCTAAAAAGCTTCGCGTGCTCAGCAGAGCCTTAGAGCAGAGTTTAGAGACATCATCATCATTACCTACATCCCACGACGCGATGCGCCTGCAGCTGTAAATGTGTTTAAAAAGCCTTTGCCATTTTTGATGGAGTTTCAAGGTTTAACAAGGGAAATAGACATTTGCGTTTACAATATACAAACTGTTATGTGGGTATAACTGGAAATGAGAGCGTTGTTTGCACAACGAAATGGCGTTCTAGACACAATCGATCCAAACTACATATTTACAACGTTTGGTTGCAATGTGACGTGGGCATACATCACATTACGGTGACTGTGAGATTAATTCTGAAACTTTACTCACATTATCTGAATTGAACGTGTTAAAAATAGCCTTTCTCGATTTCGTAAACTATATATTGAATAATTAAATGTTAGCAAAACCGGCGTCTGATCGTAAATATAATTCATATTAATTCGGTATACTGATGGTTATAGTTTGTTAGTTACTTTTACAACTGTTAACGATTATTTTAACTTAGAGTAGGTCACGATTAAACTAATATCGTCTATAGCATAAATAATGTCGGGTAAACATTTCCTGGTGTGGTTTGTGGAAATACGTCAATTTCGTAATCGGGTCGTAATAATATAATAATGGTTATAAACATAACACGTCCATGTTAATGGTATTTGCGACGACTCAGCTAATAACACCGTAAAAAGTAGTAATGACGTTAGCGAATTTAAACCGAAGTTCACGGCCGCACCTGTATACTCGTAGCCTGTCTCAATGACGCGTTATAAAAATAATGCTAGATTATACAGTGACCAGTAATTTATATATTAAAATTATTACAGGTTTCTTGTTCGTTTTTCCCAGCACAGAGGTTGTTCTCAAACCAAAAGTAGAAATAAAAAAAATGAGTGCGTGTAACCTTAACATTATAGCGTTAACCGCAACCTTATATAGGTCTCATTTTTATTTTTATTATGAGTTATTATTTTTGATTTATTAATATTTTATTATTTTGAGCTAAATGTATACATTTTAATAAAATTATTTTTATTATTAGTTATTAATAAAACAATAATAATTAGTAATTAATGTGCACTGTACAGAAAGGCATTCTATTCGGTGCCGCATACATGGCTAAAGAGAGTCCTCGACCTGTTCCCGGAGCAGTGTATGAGGCAGTGGAATACGATCCTTTGTCATGTAGGCGAACGGATGATGCACGCGGAGAACCGTATAAAGATAGGAAGGGGAGTCTTGCAGTGGCATAGTTTCAGTCCAATCCGATTCTGCCTCTCACTGAAATCTCTTACTATGTTATTTAGACAGTACCTCCGGGAGGGGATTTCAGCTTCTAAAGGGAGGTAAAAACGTGGCTCATCTTTTCTATATGGTTAATATATGATGAACGGATGGATCTCAAGTTATTCGCCTACAGTTTTTAGATTGCTAAACATCTCTTTTGGTTTTACCAATTCTATCAGAATAGAGCTGGATATATATACAAAAAACATAAATATGCATATTATATACGTGACGTGTATAATACGTACGTGTGTATAGTGAGTCTATCTATGCATACACATACACTAAAAACCATATTGATATCTGAAAAGCTTGGCGTGCTCAGAAGAGCCTGACAGTATTTCGTGTCGGCACACCGCCTGCAATATAGGTACTAGGCGCAGGTTCGGCCTCACATGGAATACTGTTCCCATCTCTGGACTGGGGCTCCCCAGTGCCAGTTCCTTCCACTTGACCGCATCCAGCGCAGAGCGGCTCGAATCTTCGTCGACCGAATCCTCTCCGATTGGCTCCATTCCCTGGCACTGCGAAGAATTATTGCATCCCTTTGCATTTTCTTTCCTATCTACCACGGAGAGTGCTCTGAGGAACTGTTCGGATTAAGTCCAACCGCCAAATTTCACGAACGCACATCGCGGCAAAAGTCCCGATACCATCCACATGATCTGGTTGCTTGGCGGTCCACCACTGATTGTTTTACTCGGAGTTTTCTTCCACGTCCGACCTCGACTCGACTGTGGACTAGTTTACCACTGGCGATTTTTCCGGACCGATACGTCTTACTGTCTGTAAGAGATTGCTATGTAGCAATAACACCGCCTTTTGTTTTCCCTCACTGTTCATTTTTTTGTTATATTCATGTTTCATCGGTGTACAATAAAGAGTATTGTATTGTACGTACGGATACGGGACCTTCAAGAAAAGAGCTTATTCCTTTCTAAAAAGCCGGCAACGCATCTGCAGTTCCCCTGGTTGTTCGCTTGTTTACGGGAGGCGGTAGTCACTTACCATCAGGTGAGCTGTATGCTCCTTTACCCTTTCTCTTATTAAGAAAAAATAAACTAAAAATAATGAAATAATTTCTTAGATATAGTGTATAGAAGAATTAAAGCCTAAACAATGCGTGCTGGCGTATTTCACATGCCATCGAAACATTTTTTTAAGTTCTCAGACGTGTAGTTAAGACCCTCATCAACTCATCATGTTTTCTTTTACCTACCAGCGCGTGGTAATGAGCAATAAAAATGGTAGATTACAATTTATTTGATGTGTGATCGAATTCTGTTTGCTTGTATACTGTGAAATAATAAGACGGACGCAAATCACCGAGCTACCACGGAGGAGTATAGTTTTTATTACAAAGACTTTTCAGTATATTACTGGCAGGGGGGGGGGGTCGGACTCGCTAGCAGGCACGCGGCATTAATATATTGCTCACAAGTAACGGTCAATTCTCCGTAACTCTTTTAGTTAACTAACTACAGGTTCTCAACCGACTTCAAAAAAAGGAGGAGGTTCTCAATTCGACTGTATTTTTTTGTGTTAGGTACCTGAAAACTTTTTTAGATGAACCGATTTTGATGATTCTTTTAATTATTTGAAATCTCGTGTTTCTCATGTAGTCCCATATTATTTCGATCAAGATCTGACCAGTATTTTTTTGGGGTTATCCTTAATAAAGCGTATTTAATTGACAGACTACATTGATGATTTTTTTATTTTATTTATATTGAAGTCGGTTGTACAAAATTTTTAATTTCACTTCTTGTTTTGTAAACTCTTGCAACGATCTAACACTGATTTTTACTGTCTTTAACGTGATTATTAAAACGCTGTCATTATTTATGTGCGCATTTCGTCACTGTGATTTTACGTTTATTTCAGATAACTATATAGGTACCTTTGTATGTCGTATATGCTTGAAACAGTAACTGCCGTAAATGAAAATATACTGTGCCAGCTACCTTCTCAGCCGGCACCGGCGTGGTCCACGGCTGTGACACAATGTTTGTTCTTTTCAGGTCTTGTAGAATACATAGAAGTCTTTGGTTTATTTGGTGACAAGCTATAGTCGAATTCACGACATGTTGCTGCTGTGTTTAGTATAATGAGTGACGACTACCCGAGCCTAGTTCTGAAGTGTTGATAACATTATTTTATGGACTGTGTGTGGTTTTCACTCTCACCCTTGTACTATTAAGTAACCTCTTACTCAAATAAGGATTTATACGTTATCACAGAATACTTAATATATAATTCAAAGTAGCTTTACCTCAAAGGTTTTTGCAATGGTATTATCATGTCTCAAACGTTTTGAAACGATGTAATCGTAAGCCTTAATAGATCATTACCCGACGCGACGGAGCCTCAAAGAAATAAATATTGTACATAATTTTCAGACATTAATAGCTAATTCCGTGATACTAAAATTGGTTTATATTCTGTTTTGATATAATTTAATACTTATAATTATCATTAGTCAATGATAAATATACGTAAATATACCTTAAAGGTAAAAAAATGAAATAAAAACCACATCTATAAATAAAATTGAAGTGTGTGTGTGTGCGTTTATAATGTCAAAATAACAGCTTTTTATTAAATGCATATGAAAGCTTATGGTACTTGTAACAAAAAATAAATTTTAAAATTTTTGTCTATCTGTCTGTTTGTTTCGACTATACGAAACGCCTGAACCGATTTTGGCGGGACTTTCACTGGCAGATAGCTGATGATATAAGGAGTAACTTAGGCTACTTTTGTTTTAGAAAAAAAATTAAGGTTCCGCACAGAAAAATTAAGAACCATATAATCCAATCGTAATAAATCCACGCGGACTAAGTGGCGGAGAAAAGCTAGTACACAAATAAATAAAAACTTAAGCAGATGGAAGCTTTCCGCAGATGAGACCAAAAGCTTTGGTCAATCGCTCGTCTCTACTATTCCTGTACGACCACGCGCGACCTCACACTGCACAGCAATCGGTCTCCAAGTTACAAGAGCTGGGGTTGGAAGCTCTACGTCATCCGCCGTACTTACAAGACCTTGCGCCTACAGACTTCAACTTCTTCCAGAATTTGGAACAACTTCGAGAAAAAATTCAATACCCGAGAGGCAGTACAAAATGTCTTTGAAGGACTTTGTTGCTTCCAGTCTGGCTAATCTTTTTAAGGAGGGCATCAATAAACTGTGACTGCATTGGCAATAATAAATAAATTATTGCATGAGTGATTTCTTAGATATAAAGAAATAAAAATATATAGAAAAAAATTACGTCAACTTATTTCATAAAAAAGGCAGTTTCATAGGTCTTATTTACGCCCCACAAAAGGCTGTTAAACACCTTGGCCCAGCGTGCATAAAACACATCGCAAATGACTGTTTCATACCTACCTCATCGATACCTTTGTTCTGTGACATACAGGTAGAGGTATGTTTCAGCCTCGGAAATTGACCTTATGTTGCTGGGCAGATAAGTCTATGCCCTCAGAATAAGTGAATCTACCCCTTTCAACATGGAAGACCCCACACATATCCGTCCCCAGCTCTATCCTGATAGAATTAGTAACACCAAAAGAGATGTTTAGCAATCCTATAAAATGGGAGTAACTGGAGGCGAGTTACTTGAGATCCATCCGTTCATCATATATTGACTATATAGAAAAGATGAGTCACTTTTTTACCTCCCTTTAGAAGCTGAAATCCCCTCCTGGAGGCACTGCCTAATTAACGTAGTAAGAGATTTCAGTGAGAGGCAGAACCGGATTTCACTGAAACTATCGCACTGCAAGACTCCCCTTCCTATCCTTATAAGGTTATCCGCGTGCAACATCCGTTCGCCTAGATGACAAAGGATCGTATTCCACTGCCTCATACACTGCTCCAGGAACAGGTCGAGGACTCTCTAGCCATGCATGCGGCACCGAGTCGAATGCCTTTCTGTACAGTGCACATTAATTACTAATTATTTTATTAATAACTAATAATAAAAATTATTTTATTAAAATGTAAACATTTAGCTCAAAATAATAAAATATTAATAAATCAAAAATAATAACTAATAGTAAAAATAAAAATGAATACGTATACCTATATAAGGTTGCGGTTAATGCTATAATGTTAAGGTTACACGCACTCATTTTTTTATTTCTACTATTGGTTTGAGAACAACCTCTGTGCTGGGAAGAACGAACAAGAAACCTGTAATAATTTTAATATATAAATTACTGGTCACTATATAATCTAGCATTATTTTTATAACGCGTCATTGAGACAGGCTACGAGTATACAGGTGCGGACGTGAACTTCGGTTTATATTCGCTAACGTCATTACTACTTTTTACGATTACCTGAGTCGTCGCAAATAGCATTAACATGGACGTGTTACGTTTATAACCATTATTATATTATTACGGCCCGATTACGAAATTGACGTATCTCCACAAACCACACCGGGAGGGGTTATCCGAAATTATTTATGCTACAGATCATCGATATCAGTATTATCGTAAACTACTCTAAGTTAAAATAGTAGTTAATAAAAGTAACTAACAAACTATAACTATCACTATACCGAATTAATATAAACTATACGACCAGACGCCGGTTTTGCAAAAATTTAATAAATCAATATTTAGTTTACGAAATCGTGGAAGGCTATTTTTAAGTTCAATTCAGATAATGTGAGTAAACTTTCAGAATTATTCTCACATTCACCGTAATGTGATGTATGCCCACGTGACATTGCAATCAAACGTTGTAAATATGTAGTTTGGATCGAATGTGCCACGCCATTTCGTTGTGCAAATAACGCTCTCATTTTCCGTAAACCCACATAACAGTGTGTCCATTGCAAACGCAACTGTCTACTTCCTCTGTTAAACTTTGAAACTCCATCAAAAATAGCAAAGGCTATCTAAACACATTTACAGCTGTAAGCGCATCGCGTCGTGGGATGTAGGTAATGATGATGATGTCTCCAAACTTTCCTTAAAGTATTAACTAATCGATGGCACGGTGGCGCTATGGCTATGACTATGGGATTCTATACGAATACTTATTCCCACAAGCCATAAGTATGTATTTCTATTATATAATAAAAATTACTTCAGGTCTGGATGTATGTCCATGTGTGATTTATATTAAACTGGCGACCCGCCTCGACTTCACACGGGTGATTTCTGGATCTCGATAACAGCGCCACCTAGTGGGTCCAATTGTAAACCTAAATCATCCATTCAAATGTACACTAAAATGTTCTTGTATTATTTCCAATTATAGCAAATAGAAAGCTTGATAAAATTTTGTTTGGAATCAAACAAAGAAACATTACATTACAGTCGTCAGTTTCTCTAAAATAGGTCCAAATAGTAGATCTCCTGCCACTCATTTTCATCATATACTAATCAATTTTCACTAAGAATAACACAACGAAATACTTTCTTTCTCACAAAAATAGTCAAACATAAGCATGTGCCGGCAATTTGCTCAGTATTATATTAAAATTTAGATGATGCAATAACATGTCAGGTGTGGCGGAGGAACGAGAGGGTCTGGCGGTAATCCCGCGCGCTCGGTAACAAGTTTCGATATAAATTGGTTGGGTACCGAGGTAATCCTGCCGAATAATGTCCGGCCGAATATTCGGTTCGGTAAAAATTTTACCGAACTTTCATCCCTAATATATATAGTTCTTCCATTATATTGATATGAAATTTTTAGTAGGTCACCAGGTGACGCATCGGGCAAGATTTTTGTGTAATTTAACCCAACACATGGAGTGATAATACCTACTTTTCGATTTGAAAGCGTCACATTTCCTTACACCCTTTTTATAACTAGGGAGCTAAATATTTCTTTTTAATAATGTTTTTATTCTCAATTTCTTATACAAACTTTCATTGCAGCCGGTTTCTGAAGAACCATTCCGCTTCGCGATGGAGTTAGACAATTTGCCGAAGGAGACGCTCAAGAAGTTCATCTTCGAAGAAACTCTGCTGTTCAAGCAACAGAATGAGGGCGCGTAAACAAAAACAAAACCCATCTGTTGCCCGTGCGTGCGTTTGGCTTACCTCTACACTCCATAATCTTACAGTTCGATGATAAAATGGCGCGCTATCAAAAAATAATTTACCTAATTATTGTCTGTTCTTAATTTTTTAGGTTTCATTTGCATTTTCGTAATTTGCTACCTACCATATTTTGAACTTGTGCCTTCAATGAAGTTTTTTTGAACTAAGAAATGAAACTGTTAGGTACAGTTTTTTCGAACGAGAACTCGTTTAGATTTAAATTGTAATTCCTAATATAACACAATGGTTTTCATTGCTTATCTGTGACTAAGTGGTCTTTATTAGTAAATATCGCGAAGATATCTTATCTAACAGCAAGATATAATATAACGGAATTCTTTGAAGAATATCGAACGATGCAGTTCTTCAAATATGTTTAAAGATGATTAATAATAATCTTGCAAATTTGTAAACAGGAAAGATGTTTTTAAATGTAATAACGTTTTCTGTAATTATGTCTTGACGTATGCCGATGTGTTTGCATATTCATATTTAAAGTAAATTTGTCTTATTTTGCAATAAATCGAAAAAAGTATCTAATTAAATTATTAACAAATTTTTAATATTTGCAGAAATAGTAATGAAATAAGAGGTAAAGGTTCTTTGGCATTAAATCCGCCTTTTATTACCTTATACATAAGATGAATACAATAAAGTTTTAAAATAAAATAATTCAACAAATACTTCTTAGGTGTTTTATGCATGATTTCTTTAATAAAAATTACCAAAGGTTACGACGATTACTTAGAGATTACTACCATTTTTCAGTGTTTTTCCTTGTAATAGAATTTTTATTTAAACACTACATTCTCAGACAGGTTACGTACACTTAAGTATATTTTAGTGTGCGCAGTTGAGACAGTTGGAATATATTAAACCGTAGGTAACTTAGATAGATAGTTTTCTGAAATTTATCAACGTTAAATATACTTATTCTGTGGTTTCTTAATCGAAGTTTACGAGAGAGGTGCTTGCGGGAGATTTTAGACGGGAATGTATCTTACAGTATTACGTGATAGCGAATTCTTGTTCGTGTCGGGTATTTAATAACATTTGAACGAAATGATCGAATGAGTCGAGTGTAATGCGGCGTTGACAATGACGTGTATGCTTTGACTTGGCCACGGGTGGCGCGCAAAGCTGGACTTTGATGTTGGCTGCTTAGGGTGATTGCGTTCAGAAACCAAATAGGCACATGAAAAGTGGGGCTACTAAAACTTAGCCATACTGGCCCAAGTTAGCTCAGCGATGTCAGTGCCTAGGGTTATGCCCTGTCGATCATATCCAAGTCAAAAAAACGTGTTTTCCTATTATTTTGTAAAGGCCTAGTGATGGTAACACCGAAAGCTAAACTTTGTTTCAGCTGACGCACTCTAAGAATATAAAGTTGCCGCACGACAACGCTTGTGATTTGTTCTAGACGTGGTTTCTGTGCGTAATTGTTCTAAGGCTGGATGGTTGATATAAATATTTTTACATTTTGAATTAATGTATTTCAAGTGTCACCGAATATTTATATGAAGCACTTCTAATTTATTAATTCCAATGTGATCTACTTACGAATAATTGTATTTTCCATTCGTCGGAATAACGTTCAAGGGGCGGAAGGGATTGAGCTTCGTTAAAAAACTTGTCGGTTTTCAGTAATTTTATTAATAATTCTCGTCTTCCTTGTATTTGTATATTTGCGCACAATACGCTAGAGTAGTTGATTCTTCATATCAGATAGTAAATAGCGGTTCGTAGATTGTTAAAGTTTAGTTTGACAGTTGTGCGTACGCGCGTCGGAACAAGTTTTTCAACGAACGGCCTGTGTTAAGTGACGGTGGCTTGTGATAGTGTCGAGTCTATTCCGAGTCTATTCACAATTAATAATCTGTTGTTACTCTCTGTGTATATCTATAAAATGTTGTTAGGGAGGACCGTGCCCGCTCTCAGGTGAATTACTTACCTAATTATGGGCGTTCACGGTCTACTTCTTACTAAGACTTGATTAACGTTGTCTGTTGAAAATATTTAGGGAGCATTTTAGATGATAATGTGTCAATCAATTTTAAAATTGTAATTTCATCGTTGCGTATGTGAGGCGTTCGAGCTCAAAGACAATGTCTTAGATAATGTCTTAGGCTAGTTTTTTTGGAATATTACATTACACTGTAATAAATGTATTTGCTATCAACTATCATCGCTTTTTGAATTTTATAAGGCTGTCATCACACTCGAATGGGTGTGGCAGTATTAGCTATTAAACTATAGTATCCATGTTTGGTGTTCTATTTTCGTGGTGGGTGTGGTAAGCTGGTTTTACTTTTATCAACATAAAAGTGCTAATATTCGAAAGTGTATTTTATGGATTAATTGTTTTAATAGAACGCGAGTGTGATGACAGCCATTAAAAATATTTGCGTTTATGTGACATGAACGTAATTGTGAATAAATAATATTTCGTTCTTACATACAATGTGTGTGATAAGCTTTTGTCGGTCGAATTCATTTCTCTACGAAATTACATGGATGTTTTAAATTAACCGTTGTGGTTGTTTTTTTCCTTCATAAGGTTGTTCTAGTGCTTAAAATCAGATGTAACTTAAATTATTGCAAGACGTCGTCTTTTAATATGCATTAGTCAGTAAAAGACAGGCAATTTTATTTAATAATGCATAATAGTAGTTGATACACATCTTACTATTTCAATTTGTTGACGACTGTCTAATAAAAAATGCATTTTTAAAACTAATTCAAATCGTCTTTTCAACTTTGTTATTTAAATAGATGATGCTCTAATTGAGAAAATATGTATTTCGGCTATTTTTAAGTGACACCAGAATATCATCAAATATTTATTGTTAAAATATGAGTGTTGCCATATTTTCTTAAGTAATTATGTACAAATTGGATATTGTAAGATCATTTGTTATCTGTCAACAGTTGAATATTACGAAAATAAAATTGAATCGAGAAATAATGTGTTTTGTTTCATTTTTACAAACTGACTAGAAATCTATAAAGGTATAAATAATTTCTTTTACACTGTATTTTGATATAAAAAAGATTAAGTCAAAGACAAATCAAAAATTGCGTACCCGGTCAGTATGCATTAAGTATATTAAAAATTAATTACATGTTTGAAGGTTTAAAGCCATATTGTTTTAATTGCACTGTGCTAAAATATTTCAACTTAACAATCTTGTTATTGTATGGAATGTTTTTTTATTGATTTCGGGTTGCTATGAAACAAAGCGAGGGCTTGATATCGACCTGAGAGTCTGATTGCTGCTGTGCCGCATCTTCAAGAACAGATAGTAGAGTCGCGAGTGTGAACGATATTATTCAACATAATCGAAAGAACACGTTTTCAGCTTGTGTACTTCCCCGGTCGGACCAACTCATTTGTTCTGAGGAGTCAATACAATTGCTGCGTAGCTCTGCTACGTATAAATTGCTATTACCAAGCATAGAATAATAACACCTATTCTATGTTACCAAGTTTATATGCTCTATATTTATGTACATTTCTCTGTAAAAGACATGTAATAAACATCTTTTAAAGTAGTTCATTACTTCTATGTAAGTTTTACGACTTCCATGTCACTTTAATACATGCTTTTTCTCGCAATTTGTTATATTGCCCATTTGTTTAAAAAATGCGATATTCTATATTTTTAATTTTAAGATCTAAGAATTTTTCTTTTACAGTTTGCTCTCTGTAATTTTTTAACGAAAGCAAATTAAAAGACGCTAAATAATAAATGAAATTACAAAAACACCTTTCCTTGATTTATTTTGAAGTGCCGACCATTATTAATTTAATAGTAAATAACTTTCGAAACTAAATCATTTTAGACAACATAAATAATAATTACTTGAAGACTATTTAAATAAAAGTGTATTTTATAATGCGAGCAGCCTATAAGGAAAGAATTGGTCGATAAATATGTAACATTACACGTTTGTGTAGTGGCTGTGTAAGAGTATCTATGCACTATCCCATATGTGTATCCCGTGGGTGTCCTATGAGGCGACAGAGGTAAACAAATCAGGAGATGAGCAGCAGCGTCTTCGTTATAGAAACTAAAAAATAAAAACTGGTTACTAACCTGCCTGTCAGACCGGACCTGATCTACCCACAGGCTAGTTAGGCCCGAGCCTGGGGCGCAGGCCCGAGGGGGCGCTGAGCTTGTTTTTGCAAGCGCCACTCTAATAAAACGAATAAAATTTGATAGATAATATTCTTAATAAATAACAGAGTAAATGCCGCATTTTAATTGTTCCCCATTATTTATTTTTGGTATAAAACAAATAAATAGATTGTAAAAAAAAATTAAATTGCTCGAGCTCTCTACCTCTAATTTAATTCTGGTCTCTCGCCGAGACTGTCCAAGGGAACTTGTCAGTCATTACTTCCATCTCTGCGCAGTGGAATGACTCACTGGTTTATGCCGCAAAGAAAAAAGGCGTTTGTTGAGGTTGTCTTTTTGCGTTCAGCACGACTCGATGACGGGGGTACGACCATCCCGCGTGTAAGTGTTCCATGTGAGATGTGCGGTTTACATAGTGTTCAGTACGAATAGCTCCTGGACGCTAACAAGTCGAGTGGGCCTGATGGAGTCCTACTGTGCTGAAGACTTGTGCTCCAAGGTTAACTCTGGTTCTAATTCAACTTTTCCGGTACCTAGGCGATGTCCTGAACTCATGGTAGATAGATTTAGTGTACCTGATTCCTACAAAGGCGACTACTGAGACCCCACAGTTGATCGGGAATGCTACAGGCCTAACGCCATTATCTCCTCGAACGGAATCCATTATAAACTGCCAGCTAAGGTACCCTGAAAACCACCAGCTGATTAGTTACCGTGAATTCAGTTTCCGTGGGGGTAGATCTAATTTACCTGACTCATAGATAAGCGGTGGCAGTAGAGTCCAAGAGCCTCTCTTCATTATGCGGACGCCAGCGC